AGAGATAAAGGTATGTGGCTTTTTCCTGACATCCCTCTGATCCACCCGATGAGAATGCAATAAAGTTTTCAGGTGAAAATAGGCTTTTTCTCGTGCCTCCCGTCTCGCTAAGTAATGTTATGCCGCCACAAATAAGTTGTTAATTAGATATTGCCCCTGGCTGCCACCAAATATAATGCGAAGATATTTCAACTGAAAATCAACAAGGCCGGAAGCGCCAATATTCAGTAAAGAATAATAAATAAGCATCTTCGGGGGTGAATTCACCTTATTATAGAGCGCATCTGCACTCGTTACATTATTGCCAAACCAATATTTTGAATAAATATAAAAATACGTTTTTACAAATCAATTGTTCCAATTTAGCCACAAAAAGTTAACCAGAACCGTGCACATATGATTTGATAACGAATTTAATATTTTATACTTTCATGTGGTATTTTTTTTAAATAAATTCTCATATTATAACGGGATTTGGCTTTTACCTTTTTAAGAGTATTTAGTTTTTAGTTGCCAAATCCCGTTATATGAGAATTGATAAAGAATAAATATTTACAAAATGTTTTATTGCTCGCGTATACAAACATTTAGTCAACCGCGAATTTAAAACAAGCTAGATACATAACCACAGCAGTTGAATTTAAATGTTTTACTGTTATTTGTCAATAAAAAGAATAAGATGAATACAATTCCCCATTCTGCTACACTATTTTACAAAATTGAATTGAAAAAATACCAACGTTGAGTCGAGTCATGTGTGGCCAATTGGCGTTCCTTCCCGTAACTTCCGAAAACAAAAACGCCTTTGATTTCGGTTGTAATAGAAATAGCACTCGTATTTAATCCGAAACTCACCTGAAGCTCAGCGTAATTAACAACGTGTTCAAATTCCCTTGGAGCGAATTTAATGTAGCAGAGATTAGAAGTTGGAAATTTAACTTCCTGAGAACGCGCTGTTTAAGCATTACTTTGGTTGATGTCATTAGGTTAATTTGTTAAGTAACTTAGAAGCTTTATTTCTACCTTATGCATAACTGCGGCTTCGCACACCGGTTTGTTTCCATCAAAATAATGTTTTGCAAATGGAACGCATCCGTTTGGAACTGCGAGTAGACTGGCGATAAAAGTTAGCTGTAAAATAGCAGTTCATTGTAAAATAACTTTAAGAATGTACTATCTTGTCAATATGAATGAATCCATACATTTTACCTCTCTATTAGGAATACCTAATTTTGAAATATCAAAATCAGTGTTTTTCCTTGTTGTTTATGTAACATTTTAGTTATGATAATTTTATCAGTCAGCAATTTAGCGCTGGATCATTCATGAATGTTCGTTCACATTACGCTAGGAACTTCCACGCTACGTTGTTATTAATTAATTATGAAGCAATAAAGGAATCGGACCAGCAAACGTCAGCTTTCGTAACACGTATTTATTGTGAGCATAGACGAAGAGTCTTACGGACGGGAAATTGATGGAATACATAAATCCATCTTCCAATCTCTCCTGTCAGATGGACTTGCGTCGTCACCAAATCATTGGGCGTGACATTTTAGTTTCAGGCAGTGGCAGGTATTGGTTTTCTGTTATACAGTAGATATGTACTCCTATGTATATTGTATTGTACGATCGCCATATACTACCGTTTGGTTGCAATATCGCTGTTGTTGACACCTTTAGTGAATTAACTACTTACATAACTCATAACATAGGCCTTTATTCCCCAATTTTAAATTACTCCTATAAATTATCGGACGTATTTTGTGAACAGTAATTTTCCAAATGACTTGATGTGATTGGAAAGATATTCCGTCGTGAAAGATTAAGATGGTTTTTCTCCGAAGCACGGCGTCCAAATTGCTCGGTTTTACAGCGGGAATAGGCGATTACATCCATTCATTTAAAAAACAAATTGATGCATATTTAAAGAAAGCTCGAAGAAAGTAATTGTTAAGACATTTGTTTAACTTTGCATCTATTCAAATTCTTGATTTTTTAGAAGTTTTGTTAAACTGAACACTATTAAAACCAATATGTTTTTAGGACGTCAAAGAAAATGAGTACAAAAAGTGTACTTTCCAGTGTGATAATTCGTAAGTACCTACCTATTAACTTTATTCATTGCGATTGCACATACGTTATAAGTTACGGTTAACAGTAAGACAGCCCAGGACCGAGCCGCCTGGAGACGCATGACGCGGAGGGCCGACCCCAAATAAAATGGGAATGGGCCAGGCAAAGTAGTATTGCGATTGCACATACCTAACTATTATTGGTAAACTTCCACAACAATTTTAATTCAGCTGTAGAAGCTTTTTTAAGCGCTGTTGCTCGCAAAACTTTAGCGAACAATCCAAAAAATAAAAAAGGTTTTGTATTTTTTCTCGTGATGAAATCAAATGGCGTCGCTAGAACTACTACCATCGTTATCGTTGGATTAGTTTTAGTGACCGAAAAGCCGTCATTAGTCCTTACGACTCAATTATTTCGGAACAAAGTGTACTTGTTTTCTGCCGAAGAATTGTGTCATTTACCCTCCTAATAGGTACTCGGACTCACATGGGTGTGTAAGTGTATCATTATTTTCTCTTTTATTCGTACAGCGTTAGCGTCGATAATAGCGTTGCCTTCATGAGATTCCACGATATCAATTGTTTCAAAGGTGCATGAGTCGCTCGTGATCTTTGTATAAGCCCCGTTTACATCTAGAAGTTAGAACACTATTATTATATTTGAAATGAATAAAACTTGGATAAACTAGATACTACAGAACAACAAAGTATGAAAATTGACTTATCAGTGACCTCAGATATTATTATCAACTAGCGGCCGCCCGCGACTTCGTACGCGTGAATCCCGTTTTACCCCCTTCATCTATCTTACGCGGTTTAGATTTTTTCATACAAATGTTTTTTCCCGCTAACTCCAGTTCCCGTGGGAATTTTGCAATATCCTGTTGTAACTAAGCTTTAAGTTTACTAAGGTAGGTACCCGCATGCCAAATTTCAAGCGTCTAACTTAAGCGGTTTAGATTTTTCATACAAAAAGATTTTCCCGCTAATTCCTAAGTATAGAATTCTTAAGTATACATAACCTGCCCAGGAGTATGAAGAATAATTGTACCAAGTTTCGTTAAAATCCGTGGAGTAGTTTTTGTTTCTATAAGGAACATACAGACAGACAGACAAAAATTTTACTGATTGCATTTTTGGCATCAGTATCGATCACTAATCACCCCCTGATAGTTATTTTGAAAATATATTTCATGTACAGAATTGACCTCTCTACAGATTTATTATAAGTATAGATAAGACTGTGAGACTAACGGCAGCTAACAAGAACTCTCAGTGTGGATTTTAAAAAACTCTAAATATTTGAGAGATCAGATGACATAATTATAATATCAGTATTTAAAGTTATAGAAATTTTAATGCATTTTGATATTAATTTGTTGGAGCATCTAGAAACGCAATACATGTATTGAATACAACTTTCATTTCTCAAATAACTCTAAGTGGTTGCTTGAGACTGCGACAACAATTTATTTATTTCTACATATTGTGTCTCGATTTGCTGGTACTTGAAAGAATAAAATAATTTTGGTAAAACTTGTGGTACTGATGGTAGAGCCTCTGCGTGCACGTCCCATTAAAATTGGTTTGGAAAAATCAATTTTAAAGGACGTAGCACACCTATCAACCCGGAAAGGGATCGTAACCGTATCAACTCAAGGCGGTCAGTATTATTTATATGAGACTCCAGGTCCATACTGCAACGCACACCTCATCCGCACCGTAACGTAAACGCCTCGCCTCGCGGTTGACAGCGCGCGAAAGGCTATGTGACAGCTCGCGAAAGGCAATACGGTGTTGATCCCTTTCCGAGTTAATAAGTCTGCTATGACTTTAAATCTACATAGCTGTTGTCAAGTCATATTAGTATAACTGAGCGTATCTATCAAATTGTAATATCGAAACCCTTGTTGAAAGCTTCTGAAAATAATGAAAATGCCACTAGAATAGACACTTCACGAAAGATAAGAACGACAACTGACTACAAAGGATGAGGATGTGTACTTCAAAAGATTTGGAATTTGGAGATTGAAGTGAGCTAATCAAGTGAAACAATAAGGAATACTTAGAAAAAGGCATTAAGCGGCAATCGGAAGATACAAAGTGGGAATTTTTGGATACTTTTATTGTGATTTGACACCCTAATCTACATCAATAATAATTTACATAAACAGCATAAAATTTTCAATAGATTTAAAAAAAAAAGAAAATGTCAATTGCATCTTGAATAATCTGTTTATAGTAAAGCTTTTGATAGCTTTGAAGATATAGTAAAGCGTTGAGCGGTACGGAACGCTAATGCCGGGCAATTTTAATATTGTATGTTATTAATATTTATTTTACCTCCCTCGATTACATATGGGTTGTATATTTCGTATGATGCCGTTTTAATTACGTAGCAACCGATAAAGGTAACATTTTGTCACACAATGTTATTTTGTGTTATGGCATTCATTTAAGAATTCATTACCATGTAGGTAGAGCATTTAAATTTTATTGGATAGGATCATAGGATATTAAAATTAACAACAGTTTAAATATGAAACTATGTTTGGTATTGGTATTGGTATTTTGCAATATCTATAAATACGTTCTTTATTCATGGAAATCACTATTACTCGTATTGAACCTTTGTTTATAGAATTGAACCTTTATAGGGCATCAAAATCAAATTAATAACCAATTAACCCTTAAGTGTTCAATCAAGTTGAAACTTTCAAAGTATTTGAGGCTCAGACCACATAATATATTTAATGTTACCATGAACTTTCAATCAAACATGCGTGTTGCTAATAAAACTTCAAACTTGTAAATTAATTGATAGATGGGTTTCAAATAGGTTTGTTTATTACCAAAACTTTGCATGTATTAGACTGTGGGATTTAAATATGATAGCTAAATAATAAATAATTGATAACAACTTACTTGCTATAAACAGCGTGCTTAACACTAAGTAAAACATGTTGCTTCACGAACTTTCAATTGTTCAACCAAAAGTTTTCAGCGTGTTAGAATCTTATGAAAAATCCACGAATAAACTTTTAAATCTGTATTTATTATGCACAATCAGTTCTTTTTTCAAAATATAACTTTTTCTAACGACCAGGATATATCGAGATAAATCTGGTAAAGGTCCACGCGTTCGTCTCGGATGAAATCTCGCGCCAAACTGCTGTGGAGCGTATCCTCTAGGGGTGTCCTGCCGTAGTATGCCAACTCATTTGGGCTCTGGCAATTGATAAAATGCCGTTTGGAAACTTTTTTATGAGCGACAGTCATTTGTTTAAAATGTATTAATGAAATTCCATATTCGAATTGCAATTTGAAATCCAAATCACTACATAGGTAGTTTAAAACAAAGTCGCTTTCCGCTGTCTGTATCTATGTATGCTTAGATCTTTAAAACTACGCAATGGATTTTGATGCGGTTTTTTTAATAGATAGAGTGATTCAAAAGTAAGGTTTAGGTATGTATACTTAGCACCTGTGCAAAACCGGGCGGGTCGCTAGTAACTATTAATTTAAAAGAGCTAAACAATTTGTATAGGCTTTACTGATGTTACTTTTGTTTCTGAGTTTTTTGGCAAATAAAGCAGTATATTATTAGTCTGAGGCACATTGAAAATATTAATAACACGGTAAAATTTTAACCACGCAATGTAGGACTTTGAACAGCTTGTTGCATATTTTATGTTTGCGGAACTAATTTATCGGCAGAAGCTCCCATAGCAAATTTCAACTTTTCGAGTTTCATAACACTATTTTCACCAACAATGCCAAAGTTTTTCACTTGTTTAGTTTTAGTTAGACGATAATATTATTATTTGGCTGACTGCATCAGTAATTATGCGACCGAGGTGTGTTTGGTTTATCATAATTTGATCAAGCAAATACGGTAGTGATGGAACATTGTTTGTGTAAAGCCTGCCAGTTGGTTAAGCAGCATTAGTTAAATATTAATAATATAATTAAATTGTTATTTCGGATATTAATGACATTATCACTCAGATTAACTTTTTATCACGGTTAGGCATTTGAACTAACACCCGCGCTATCTTTGCTTTTCAATAACATAGCGACGTATTATGGTACCTACGAGATACTGTGATTCTTCCAACTACTTAAATGTGTTCGTGAATATTTAATTAGAAATATTTAGTAATACTTATGATTTCCTTATAAGCACGGAGTTTTTATAGAAGTTAATAATGTGCATTTGACTTAATTTACACGAACGTTTACTTATAATGGTTGTTATAAGTAAACGTTCGTGTTCGTGTATTATAATAATTAGTTTTTTATTTATATTTTAATTAGTCTTTTTTTTTATTCTAATACTTATTTGACGATTTTTAAGCAATATTTTTAATAGTCCGTGCAAACAAAGGAATTTTGACTGCTATTCTCGAATGCTATTCTCTACTATCTTTGGCTGGATCCATAGTAACTTTTTGTAGCGAAGAGCAGATTTCGCGTAAAGGACATTGGGAACTTTAATATGAGAAAATGCCCCACGGCGGACAAAGATGAAACGTATTTTATTTCAAAGCTTTATACTTGTAGGTATATTCACTTAAAGCGCTATGTTGTGATATATGGGAATTCTGAGATATATGACGAGTCTAAGTNAAATGAGGTGGAGAAGCCATTTTAAAAGGTATGAGCGGGACGGAGAGGGCCATCTTACCAAGCAGGGATGTTATGGATATCCGTAACCGTAACCGAAACTATCGGATATCCGAAATAAAAAAATGTCCATAAACGTAACCGAAACTGATTCAAAAGTTACGGATAGTTTCGGATAAAGGCGAAACTGCAAAAGTGCAAAATTGTGCACTCGCACTTGGCCGGTTTTTTTCACGTGTAGTTTCATTGGAACTATACACCAAACAAATGACAGCATTCTGTTGGTGATGAACGGCGCTATAAAACCATAGTGTTCCATTCCAGTTATTCTGCCACTAGAGATGATACAAAATATTTTGTTCCAACGAAATCGTACGTCATTTGTTTTCCTACAGTAAATATCACCACAATTTGTTTCTCCACAATTAACCTAAAATCAACGCTAATAAATTGGTATTGTAGAAACGTGTCGTAACCTATTTTCATATACGAGTACTTACTTACCTACCACAGAATGTTTAATTTTGTTGTAGGAGTAGGTACCACAGTGATTTAAATACAGTGCTTATTTAATTTTTATGGTTTCCACAAAACCGAAGATTATTATTATTACAAATCAAACCAGAACTAAATGTTTGAGTTAAAAGCCAATATCTCTGTTATTATGTACATATGTAATAAGGTTTGTGGTTGACACTTAATAATTATATTGTTACTGATGTTCAATATTATTTACTAGCTTATGCCCGCGACTTCACCCGCGTGAAATTTAGTTTGTCACAGATCGTCATAAATTATAGCCTATATGTTATTCTGAGTTATAAAGAATAATACTGTAAAGTTTCATCAAAATCCGTTCAGTAGTGTTCGCGTGAAAGAGTAACAAACATCCAACCAGACATCCAAACTTTCGCATAATATAAATATTAGTAGGATTTAATTAATTATGTCAGTTAAGCTGAGGCTTAATTAATACCGATTATGGACGAGATAATCCAAAGAATAATTGTGCCGAATCAGATTTTAAGTATTTTTGTAAAAAGAAACTGATATCAGTAATATTTTAGCAAAATTAAGTTATTTATCTTTTTGATTCATAAAAATTATTCCTGGATTCTCAAGGAATCCGTTAAGGACTTTTAAGATATGTACACTACACTATTCAAATGGCACCTATGGACTGTTCCTAATACGAAAGAGCTTAACAGAGACTTGTACATAATTGTATTTGATGTATTTCAACGTAATAAACGTACCGTTAACTTTAATCAAAGGAGGCAATTTGCATCAATATGCAAACTGCAAGGGAATGGAACACTCCGAACGTCTGTCTTCCCGATCTCTATATCTTGGGTGCGATGAGTGAATCTATTGAACAAGCATGCCGTTTGAGATCTCATCAATATCAAGAGATTAAGATCAATGACAGAGTCGGTTCCAGATTTTCAAACATTGAAAATAATCCTATCCTATAATGATAGAAAGTAAAAACTTTATCGACACATTAGTAGACCTACATAATAAATAACAACAACACAACTAAAACAATTATTAATAATGATAAGTAGGTAACTATCAAAGCACTGTTTCTTTACGAGATGGAATCAGAAATGAGGAGATACGTAAACGAACTAAAGTCAGTGACATTGTCCGACGGATTAGCAAACTGAAGTAGCTACCAATAGGCAGGAAACATCACATAGTACGCAGAACTGATGGGGCAGCGATGTTCTGGAGTGGAGGCCATGTAGCGGAAAGCGCAGCGTAGGACGTCCTCTCACAAGGTGAACCGAGGACCTCATAAAGGTAGCAGGAAGGCGCTGGATGCAGGTCGCTACCAACCAGTTAATATGGAAATCGTTGAGAGAGGCCTATGTTCAACAGTGGACGTCCTGTGGCTGTAATGATGAAAAACACAAGCAGAACTTCTAAGGCTGCTTGCATTGTGTGGTTACACAAATAACAAACAATAGCTCGTATATCTCCGCCTCTTGACTTTGTCGCCTTCTCAATTAACAGTAGAACGTCTTCGACGCAAAGGACGCTTCAATTTAATTGAACCCTTTATAAACGCTCGCCTCACAATGGAGATAAGGTTTTCTCTAATAACCTACGTGTTCTATAATTAACACTTTCATAATATTTGATATGGTTTCAAAGTAGCCCCTTGTTCACACTACGCAATCACTTTAACGGGTCCGTCGGTTGATGGATTGGTTACTCACGTCTATCTACTTGTATAGGATATTACTATTATTTATGTACACCTGGTCTGTAGACTACTCCATTAGACGGTGGCAATTTTGCAAACCAAGAAGACCGATTAATTCCGACACTTGTAAGTAATTTTATATGGTCATAGTAATTCAAGTCAACTTCTTTGTTAACAAAATAAAATAAAATGGAGAAGTTTCCAATTTTTTTCTTTTAATAAATCTTGAAAATATAAGTAAAACTAATAATAATTGTGAAAGAATCATGAAAATATCTCTACAAATACAAAAGTTACAGGGCCCTAAAGTTGCGCTTAACAAATATTCGCGCCATTTTGATCGGTGTAGTCACGATAGTCATTTGTAGGGTAGACCGGGGACAATAGTACCATTTTTTGGATAGTGTTAAATATTGAGAAATCTAATGAAATATAACTTATTCTGTTAGGATGCTGTAAAAGCTAGACTCTTATGCTACAAATTTAAGCAAGCAGAGTTGAACTATTCTTTCGAATACTTAATGAAAAACGAATTTGAACTGTACGATGTCTCATGTTACAATTGACCCCTACAACGGGTCAATTGTACCAATAATATATGAGGCAATAAAAGTAGTTATGTTTATCTAATCATCACCTTTATTGGTATTCTGTACTCTTAATCTCCTACAATCATCAGTCTTTATTAATTGAAGCATTGGGAGCAACAAGGGCGTTCGGCACCGAAAGTCCGTTTTGATGTTATTACATCAAAACATGCACTGTACTATCTAGTTTAACATCCCAAAAACTCGTTTCGATCAGCCGCTCCCTGATGGCGTGAGAATAATTTATGTCACCAGTGGCGCTACGCCCTTGTTGCACACAGTAACAAAAGTGCGTTTAAATTCGACCTGTATGCAGTTTTTAGAAACTTTTTAATGTAAAAAATGACTGAAGACTCATTTTGAGTCTTCCAGTTACTTGGCCACCTTTTAGATTGGTCCACGGACCAAGTCAGACAAGCCAGACTGAATTTTCAATTATTTATTCCTCCGGCAAATGGACTCACTCTAAGATTCTAGAGTAGATTTGTATTGATTTGGTGTTTAATTTATTAACAAAAACATTGAAGGTTCACCTTTTTAGCTCCGGAAATTGCTTCAACCAGTTTAAAAAAGAAGAAAATATTTAAAAATTCAATCCGGCGACTTGGTCCGTGGACCTAGCTAATAGTGAGCCAAATGAGTGGTTGAAACTGGTCCTGACCTTCCAGGCAGGCCTGGAGAATCAAGCTGGACCTTCTAGGCCAGTTGCAGGTGATTCGGAAGATTCCCTTCA